GGGAGAGGATGGGGGGTGCTTCCCTCTCGGCGTCCCAAACAAAGTGTCACAAAGAGCTCGGCCCGCGGCAGCAGCGGAGGCGGCTGTAACTCAGCTTTTGTTCTCCCGGCCGAGGGTAGCAGAGCCCTGGCCTCCCTATCTCCCACCCTGCCCCCTATCATCCTTCTTGCTTATCTTCCCAGGGAGGGGTCTGGGGTGCTGCTGGAAGAACCTCTTGTGCAGGATCACAGGTCCTACCTTACTTGCTGACCTATTTCTGGGAGGGGTATTTTCCCAGAAGCTCTCCTGCCCACCTCCCTCTTTCCCCCACCTCCCAGTCTGAGGACTGAGGCTCATGTGGGCGGTTAGACTGACTTTTCTAGGGTCAGCTCCAGTTAAGTAGACTTAGGGATGGCTACATGTCTCCTTTCCCCAAATCCAGATCCTTCAGAACTTTGAAAATCGGGGTCAAGTTAGGACATGACTGGGATAAAATTCACCATGGTGGGGTGGCAGCAGGTGTATCTTCTCACCTCCTTCTGTGCATTTGGAGTCCTTAACTGAGGTTGCTTGCCCCTAACTCAGGACAGTGGGACCCAGGGAATGCTGTCTTCACCAAGAACTCAACCTGAAAGGTGGCAAACTGCTCTGGAGGGAGAGTTTGAAGGAATAGTGAAGTTAATATAGAGAGGAGACCACAAAAGTGATCTATTGGCATGTCTCTGTGATTGAGGTGGTCTTCATTCTGGACCACTTAAGAAGCTCCCTTTCCTAAAAACCCATTTAGTGCAGTGGTTATCATAATTGTTTCTGACTTCGGAGGTATAGGATTTTCAGCAGAGGGAAAACTCAAGTATTAGAAATGACCAGAGACAGAGGCCTAGTTACAGCTAGACCCCAGAGATCCTGAACCCTTGCTCCATACACTTTGAACCACTAGGCTTGGGGACAACCTTCTTAGTCCTCTATTTGGCAGATGCTTCTGTGTATCTGTCTTTGTTGTTTATAAATCTTTTTATTAACCATCCATCTTTATTTAGTAAGGTTTAAGGTTTGATGTTCCATAAACTGCCTATACCAGCTGTCCTGGCATGTAAGAGTAATTGGCCTGTTGCTTTGAAAATATTTCTGATCCCTAACCCTGGCTCTGCATCCCTATAGAATCCAAATAAGGGCAAGATAACCCCTGATTCTCAGTGGGGGTGGAAAGTAGGTCACTGCTACTCTCTGACCAAGTCTGGCCAAGTATCATGGATGGTGTTTAAGCCTGAGTATAGAAAAATCTATGATTATTGTCCACAGTTAATACATGTATGACTTAAGTTATAAGCAACTTCATAAAACCTGTCAGTGCTCTCCTTTATTGATTACGACCATGAGATCAGATGTCTGGGCCTGTTTGGAATGAATATGATTGAGGGGATCTTGATGGGGTCTAGGAGGTCTCAGTGAATTTTGTTGATTTTAGGCCTCTTTTGGAGAAACTCTTCTGCTGGGGAATTTAGTTTCAGTTTGGGTCTTCTTATATCACTATATTTCCATTCTGAAAACTGCTGTGTGCAATGTGTGTATGTGTGTGTGTGTGTTTTTTTTCTTTTGGGAGGAAGTTTTGCCTTGTTCTGTTTTATTTTATTTTTGCATTGGATATGAGTCCAGCTTCTCAGGAGATGTTTTGCTTGCAGTTTTAGGGGCCCTAGAATCTTCTCAGAATCAGAATATGTGCCCATAGGTTAGTCAGCTATGACCATGCAGTATTCCCAGCCTCCACCCCCCCTCCCTCCTGGCCATCTGCTTCCTCTGAATATACCAGATTGGCTGTACACCAGGATGTTCCGGGAATCCCCAGGAGAGCAACAGAATGTGAGGGACCCAAATACGATGCCTCAGTAACTCATTCCAGGATGTACAAACTGTAACTGTCAGGACACTCCTTATAGCTAATTAAAAACTTTCTGGTTACATCTGTTTTCTAATACCTCTATTTTCAGTGACATCCAAAAGGCCAAAATAATCCTCTGGTACCACTCTCCCCTGACCCTCTGTGGTTCCCAGATAGGGGGAGAAAATCCTCCAGCTTTTCTCAGTGCTTTATCTGTGATGCTAAAATGGCAAACATGGCCTCTCTAGGACTTCATAGTTCTATCTATGGTACTGAGGTGGCCAAAGTGGCTTCTCTGGTAGCCCACTGCACTCTCCATGGTACTGAAGGAATGACCATTTGTTTCAACATCTCGGGTCCAGAAGAGTCCTGTTATTTAGACCCACAAAACTTTTAAGCTGGAAGGCAACATCAGTAAAAATTAGTCTAACCTACTTACATTACAAAGGATAAATGATTCACTGAAGGTTGTAGGGTTTATTAATGGTAAAACTAGGTTTACAATAGCCTTGTACCCCTTAATCCTATTCTGACTCACCTTCTGTGAAATTATTCAGTGAACCTGGCTAGGCTCTTGGCCCCAGGAAAGGGGTTTGTTTGGAGGATCCAGAGGAGGAAGGTGTACTCCCAAATATGGAGCTATAGAAGAACACATTAAATGGTGACAGACGACATCTAATGGACCTTGGACAAGGATATTTTTGTTAATTAATATCCTGTTAATATTCCCAGAGCCCTGATTCTGCATGTAACAGGTACTTGCCCCATACTGAAGTCTTACCACATCCACTAAACCTTGAAAATTAAGGAAGCTCTGGACCTCCAGAGCCTTTTCTCTGCTGATAAGCAGGGCTGACTCCTGGCCCAGTTTTCTTCTATTAAAGATCTGTAAGCAAGGTAATGCCGAGTTCTTTTCTTTCTCAGTAACATAAAGCTTATTGTAAGAAAGTTCTTTATATCTCAAATATTCTTCCTATCTCAGGCAGAGGGGAGGAAAAAAAGAAAAAGGTTAGGCCCACATTCATCTGGCCTTGACCAGATACAATTCTGTATGGAGGCAGGAAGGTAGAGTGGATGCCTTCTGGTCATCTTCCCAGCCTGTTTCCATGAATTTTAATTCTGAGGTTACTTCTGAGTCCTAAAGCTGACCTCTTCTGCAGCTTAGAACCAGGACCCC